TATTTTTGCATAGACTAAAGTACAAAACAGTAAAAATCATTAAAAGGCAATCGTTCGATGGGCTGAGTTGCACAAAACGCATGATCGCATCGGCTAGTCCGGTGCGCGCTGCTATTTATTGTATTTTTTCTGGACTTTTTTGGTGTATCATAAATTTGCTTTATTGAGGGTCAGTACACTTAATGAAAGAAGCAGTAAAATTTTATTCTCATATTTTAATGCTGCGTTACGCCATTTCATTCTTATTTCTATCGATTATTCATCATGTTTTGGGAAAACTTCGAATTAATCCGATTTTTTTTTGTTTTGAAATTTTTATTTTACACTGATTTTGCAGAGCGTTAACGGAACGAGTGGTGGAAGTGCTTCCGCAACTGAAATGTCCCCATTCAATCGAGCCACACCAGATCCAGGGACTCGATTGCATTCACATTTTCCCGGTTGTTCAGGTTTGTACTACTACTACTGCATTGTAGAACAGAGTAGCAGTCGATAGGAAAGCGGAAACTATGTCGGGGGTTTTTTTTTTATATTCACTAAATTTAAATTTATTGGAGAGAATAAATTCTCAGGAAACCTAAAGCCTTGCCGGCTTCCTTTTAACCATTCTTTGTTCTAGTGGCAGCTTTAGTTTTCATGCTTTTTGTGCTGTGTAACAGCAGTACAAAACGCATATTGTCACGGGGTTGTCTGTGTGTTGGTGTGTCCTACATTTTGTCCCGCACTTTCAACTCTGGAACCACAAAAGCTAGGCGGCTGAAATTTTGGTATAGTGTTCCCCGCCAACGGGTGCCGCGACAAATTTAAGTTCAGCCTTCTCGTACCCGCGGGTAATAAGTATGGCCCCGTGAAGGGTAAATTAATGTTTCGGTAACCATGGAGTTTAGAAGGCTGAAATTTTAGGGTAATGACCCCCTGCCCACGCTCAACCTTGCCTATTCAAATTCAGCGTTCCCGCGCTCTCGGGTATCACCTAGGAGCTAATGAAAGTTTTTACGAGTAAATTATTATCTCGGGAACCATGGGGTCCAGGAATCTGGAATTTTAGGGTGATGGCTTCCTGCGCACGTTCGACCTTGCCTATTCAAATTCAGCGTTCCCGCGTTCTCGGGTATCATTTACGGCCTCGTGAAAATTTTGGT